CGGAGCCCTGCGGTGGGCGAGGGCGGGCCGGAGCCGCAGCAGGGTCGCAGCAGAAGTTTTAGAGGAGGTGTTAGAAGTGCTCTTGCTCGGTTGCGGGGCTGCTGCGTAGTTTTGGTTGCAGCAGATGCCCATTTAAACTTCTTCCCTCTTTCCGCCAGCTTGCTCTGGCAGGGGCGCAGAGACCCACCGTGTTTGTCTGCGGTGTGCGATTAACAGCCGAATAATGCTGTAACAGGTGGTAGCAATAGCAATGGTTTGTGTTGCTTTAAAGAGCAAGGTTGGCTTTTCAAAGCGCTGAGTACTTCTGAACTCTGCTGGAACTGATTGCCGTTACTCAGCTGCACTTAACCTTTTGGGACAAGCCCCGTCAGGGTTGTGAGTAGAGGGGTAGGAAGTAGCTTGCTGTGATTTTGTAGTGGGACTCATGTCTGTTAATATAACTTTGCTGTAAAGATTAAAAAACTCCCCTCGACACTTATAGGGTAATAGCCCTTAAAAGGGCCCACCCGAATTTGAAGTGTGTTTGCAAGCGTGAATAAGAGAATGGGGACAGATTTTCTGCACAGAAGTTCCATATCTTTACTTTTCATAAATATATATATATAAAGTTTCTTGTCTGTTCATTCTGTCAGCAGTAGAATTTGAGCTTGAGGCTTGAACATCAAGAAACTTAGCTTGATTTTTTGGGTTTTTTTTTGTTACGCTTCATTGTCAGTATTAACATTTCTGCAACCAAAACAGCCCTGGGAAAGTGTTCCCAACTGATGCAACCTGTTTGTTTCAGAAGCTTTTGACTTGAGGACAGATCTGGTTAATAATAAGTTGCCGTTTTAATAAGTGCCTTTTAGGAAGTGACTGTTTAATATGGGCTGTGTGCTGTAGTGCAGTTGCTTTCAACTTCTAAATGTTTCTTAGTGGAATCCCGTATAACGACTCCTAAGCCTACTGGCGGTAGGTTTGGTGTGTGGGTTATTTTTCTAGTTATCTTTCACGAACCACAGGTTGGAAACCACTTCTGTAAGTTCCCTGCATGTGATGTGCTCTGTCAGCTTTGTGAGTCTTAAATTTCCCCAATTGTACAAGCAAGTTATATTAAAAAAACCCTAAACTCACTCAATTTGTGTGCATCTTGTGCATGCTCTAGAATAGAAAAAACACCTCGAAACGGTGTGATTCGCTGATACGCTGTTATCAGTAAGTAGAAGGATGTTTGCTGACTGTCCTGCGCCTCTTACATTTGTTGCTGGTCCTGTTTGCTGCGGCTGCAGCTAGGAAGCCCTAAATGAAAACTTGTATTTCAGAAATGGAAATAATGCCCACTTCCAAAAAATTCCTGTGTAGGAGAAGCGTGGAGTGTGTTAGCTGGAGTGATGAATCAAACTATTTCAGGTAGGAGAGTAACAGCTCGGGATTAAGAAACTTATTTGCCAGATACAGTTTTCCCTTGAGCAACGGGAAATCTGTTTTTATTTGAGGGATCTTGCCCCCAGAATAGATTCTCTGAAGCCCCGTGAACAGCTACAGCCCCTAGGTACCTAATTGTACCTGTGTATGTCTGAAATTACGTATGTCCTGATGCATCCAAGCGGCTTGCAGCCCAAGTAAAAATTCAGGCTCAGCTTATGGAGAGGCCGGGTACTTAGCATGGTGAATTGCAAAGGATTGCAGAATACATAAAACCTGTGTGTTGTGATGCCAGTTCCCTCTTTGGGCCTTGTCTAAAGGGCTGATCCTGATGTCTAAGTGATTTTTAAAAGATGGCTTTGTGCAGACAAGGCTCCTTAAAGGGAAGGTTTCTCTGGTTCGGGATAACTAACTTCCTTCTCCCTGAATTCTTTGTCTCTGCTATAGAGAAGTGTTTTGTGAACCCATGAGGAGGTATGGCATAGTTGTTCTTCTGTAACAGGTCTTTAACTTGATACCCAGCTTATGCAAAATTGCACTTTGTTTTGTTCTGTAAGTCCTTTCCAGGGACAGGATCTTGACCTTCTAGCCGTACCTTTCTTCCAATGTATGAAGATCCACTGAGAATGTCATGGCTGCTCAGGGGCTGTTCAACAGAAAATTAGGTACCTCAGAGGCCACAGCTTCGGAGTAGTAAAGAGGGTGAGAAATAAGAGTGGGGTTTTTTCCTGGGATGTAGTAGGAAAGGCTGAGAGCACCTCTCAAGGCAGCGTTTTGGTCTCGTGTTAGTGTGAGCTGATGGTGGAACTGTGTCTGACTGCCCCTGTGCTGATCCTTTCTCCTCCGCTTTTTTTCTTAAGCATCTAAGAGGAAATATCAAGTAACTTGCTGTCTAAGTTGCCGCCAGAGGTGACCAAGTTGAATATCTACTTCTTAAAACGCTGCTTAGATTTTGAGGAACTAGAAGGTAAAAGGAACTCTGGACATTTCTTGAGAATCCCTTAAGACTAACCATTACCAGTTCAGCTTAAACCCAGTCTTTAGTAGGGTTTGTAGGTCTTCTGCCTGTTTAACTTGCAGATTTGTTGACATTCATCTGCTGGCGTAGACCGTGGAGAAGATGCTGCTCCTCTCTCCTGTGTGCACCTAGGAAAAGAGGTGTCCAAATTCTAATTCTTGAAGCAATCAAAAGCTACTTGTGTGGCTGGGTGGCCTTCTAGGATGGGCATTTGGGTTGCTCTCGAGGCTTTTCTGGTTTGGATTGGCTCACACATACCCTTAGGCCAGTGAAGAGCAAGGCTAGCTGCTCTTTCTTCAGGTGAGCCCAGGCGGGTGGTTGGGACGGCTGCTCCGGTGGGAAGGCGATCGGCTTTCATTTCCTGTTTCAAGGAACACTTGATTGTGCAATTTACTCTGGGCTATAAAGACGCTATCTGTCAGAGTGAAGGTGAAGTTAAGATATGAGAGGATTCATTAGAGACCTCGTCAGTAATTGCTGAGGTAATTTTCTTGTAAGGTTTGGAGGCCCAGGTAAACTGGAGGTCTGTACCCTCGTTACTGTAGCACTTGAGAGCGAAGGAGGTCTAGTCCATTACCTTGCTCTTCAGTGTAATTCCCTACCTCTAACTCTCGACGGATGGGTATAACGGCTCTCTCATGGCATGGAAGTCTCTTTTCAGCTATGGCACAAACCTCGTAATTCTTGTAGGGCCGAAGTACGCTAACGGGCGGCGCAGGCTGTCGTGTGTTTAAAATGGGAGGGAGAGGGGGTTGTGATGGGTACGGATCAGGGAGGGGATGCCTGGCAGAGCCCTGCTTGAAATTTCCTACTGAACTCGATTGAAAGGGACCCTTGGAGGAATGGCAGCAGCCGTGGGGATTTTGGGGACAGTTGTTTTGTTCCAAACCTGTTTTGCAGTTGTAATCAAGTCTTGGATTAAACCCTACGTCTGTGGACTCCATGGGTTTCTGCTGTTGATTTTAACTGCATTGTCAGTGTTCGAAATACTTTTATGATTTTTTTTTTTTTTTCCCCCTGTGATAGAGACATTAATACAGTCCTAGCACGTAGTAGTAATTCTAAATTAGGGAGTATCCTTCGAGGAGTAGGGAGTTGTTGCACTTGGGTGGTTTTGTTTGTTTTTACAGTTGTTTACTTAGCTGCTTTTTGTTTTAGAGGTTGGAATAGAAACACGCATTTACTTAAAGCTGTGGAGGCTGTAATTATTTGCTGTCTGTCTGCAAGTATTTTTCATTAGCAGTGGCAATACACAAAGTTGAAAGAATGCTTATTTAATGGTATGCTATTGGAAAATTCATATGTATTAAAATATGTACAATATATTTTCCAACTTGTCTGCCTGGAATTAGTGAGAGACTGAACATTTGCTTTCTTTCTTTTTCTTTAAGATCTTGAAAACTTTGCCAGGTCCTCGAGAGAGAAAACTACATGACACTACACCATGAGTGACAGTAAATGTGACAGTCAGTTTTACAGTGTTCAAGTTGCAGATTCAACGTTCACTGTACTAAAACGGTACCAGCAGTTGAAGCCCATAGGATCAGGGGCACAGGGCATTGTTTGGTGAGTAATAAATATTTAAATATAAAAGGCTATAAATATAAAACAAAACTTGAATGTATTCCTGACAGAATGTCAAATGCTGATGATAACCCTGTAGCAAGAGACAGAAATTATGGACTAAATAAAATGTAAACCACCTGCTTTCTGTAGCTCACGTGCAAAACTCTTTTTGTGTTGTTTTGGTTTTAGGGAAAAAATAACTTTTGGATAACTGCATAAATTAAAATGGTCAGCAAATTTCCTTCTCATTAACCACTTCTTTTGTGTTTCTAGTTCTCACATTCCCCATGTAGTTATGATAGTATGATGATGCGATGGTCAGAGATTCTGGGTTTTACTCGTTTCTTCATCATGGCCCCTTTCTCCCCCCCTTTTATTCCCGATCACTCCTGTCCGTCTCTAGGAGCCATCAATGCAGTGCCTTGCCGTTAACTGGCAGGATGAGACAAATCAGTGTCATTGTCACTCCACGGACTAACCAGAAAGGGATGCTGTGTGAGGGGCTGGGCTGGCCGGCTCTTCCTTGGTGTGTCACCTCAGCTATGTGTCCAGCCTCCACTGGCCCAGGACGTGAGAGCCGTTAGTCTGAACCTGAACCTTAGTCTCTTGTATGGCACCACACCTCTGGGCCAGCTCAAGGTAAACACTTTCAAATGTTTTTTAGACAGCAGCAGTCCATTGTACACAACTTAGAGCCAGCCCGTATTTTGTTGGG